CCCCAAACCTCTTCCAGGGCATAGAAAAAGCCTGAAACTCCCAAACTCTTTCTTAAAAAAAAGTCCCAGCAAATCATCAAATCTGTGCTTTCTTCTTTTTTTAAAATGTGCTTTCAACACACGCTTCATCTGTAAAGCAAAAACCAGAGGTGGTTCACAGCATCATTCTGACTCCCAAAAGGAGAATGTGGGGAAGAAGAATAGGAAATGAGGAAGGCCCAGTCCTGGCAGGTGTAGAAGAGGTTATGTAAGAGAGCTAGGATTTCAGTTCTAATCCCCTGCGGCTTTCACAAACACCAGGCTGCAGAGCAACAGGCAAAATAAGAGGGGAAAATGGGTCAGACGGCCATTGTAAAGCTGCCAGGTGGGGGCCCCATTCTTCCCAGGCAGTTACTGATGATTTGCTGTTTACAGATTGCACAAGTGTGATGAAAGGGCTCAAGCAGAAAGAAAATGTTTTGAAAATGATGATGGCAACATATGTACAAATGTGTTTGATACAACTGATGTGTGAATTGTTACAAGAGCTGTAGAATCCCCCCATAAAATGACTTATTAATGAAAAAACAAAGAATTAGTATGGTGAGGCTCCAACCCCGAAGCACACCTTCCTAGATTTTAAAGCATACTGTATTCCCTTGTTGTTTGTTTGCACAACTGCCTTTGATCTATGGAGAGGTTCCACATGAGAACAGCAAAGCATTCTAGAATCCCCATTCTCCTTGAGGCTCCCCAGAGCTTGTTCCATCACAGGGATGGATACCCTTTACTAAACCCCCCGTACTCTTAACCTTCAAGAGTCAGCTTCCTAGAGAATGCAGACAGACAGGAATGGCTACCCTACCTCCTTACACGGTCCCTCTGAGAATCCAAGGACACCTCCCGCTGCCCTATAAAAGCATTCTGTAAACTGAAGGATAGATAATACAAGCATACAGTTCACCAGGGGTCCCCACACGCCAGGGTTCCACGAACCAGAGTATGTCCCTCAAGACTGGAGGGACCAACAAAAGGTTGCAACTTCCTATTTTTTTTCTGGCCAGGATATTAAAATGAGAACAAAACACACTAACATTTATTAGCACCGTTGTTTCATAAAAATGTTTTAACACCAAAAAAGTCTCTATGCAATCTCAGGATAAAGGCCTATCGTTTAATTGGGGTCCATAAACTACGCTTGTTGCTCCACTCAATAAGGAATGAAGACAGACAGACTGACCATCCTCAGGCTGGCACACAGGAAGCCCCGTGTGATAAAAGTCAATGACTAAACCAACGGACGGGAAACTCCCTGAGGTTATGGCTTCACTGGGTGCTGGTCAACGCAGCACCCCCCCCAACCCCCGTGCCTAGAACAGGGCTTGGAATATAGTAAGCATGCAATAAATAACTTGCTGGATGAACGAACACATCATTCTACGTCAGACCCTTTGACCGAGTGAGCCTATTTTGGAAAACAGAAAATCCAAGAAAGTTAACTGGGAGAAGGACAAAAGGAGGGAAGGAGGGAGGGGTAGGAGGAGAGAACACTACTTAACAAAAGCAATAC